TGTAAGGGTCAGAAAAGAGAAATAAGAAACACAATAAGTAAAATGAAGAAAGGAGGGGAGAAAAATGAGAGACATTTGCAAGCTTACTAGAGAGCCACATATTGTGAATTATATTTAACATCAACTTTTTAAAAGCCTAATTATAAAAATTAAGATTATTTCTTCATTAATCCATTCTTCAGGTTCTTTTAAAGATTTTATTCAGTAATAGGCTGAGAAACAAGAACTGTGTAAATAATGAATTAATGCAATTGGAAATTATATAAATTATAGCCATCTTACCTTTAAAACAAAAAGGGAAAATAAAAGATGGCTGCTTTACCATTATATTTTCTGTCATTCTCTGGGTCATATTTTATTTCTCTATTTCCTACTTTCCTGTTTTTCATTTTAGTCCTTTAAATTTCATTTCAATAATTATTTAATGAAACCCTGCTTAGAGTGTTGTGCTCATTTTAAAGACTCTGCCTTGTCCTGGGAGATGTCAAAGCATGGTAGAAGAAGATGGAAATGTACTCGGAAAAAAAAAACAATTCAATATATTAGACATTCTAACTTAAAAAGCTATGGAACTCACCAAAAGGGTGAAGTCAAATGCCAGGCTATGACTCATCAAATGGTAGATACAGTATTCTTTCAGAGATTATGGGATCATTTATAAAGGGAGCAAGGTGGAATTGTAAAAAGTAGAAAGGTGACTAAAAAGTAATGAGAGGCAAAAAAGAGACAGAAACACAAGCTGATAAGTTGTTCTATACTGCAAAAATGGGCCTTAAAAAGTTAAGAGTAATCCCAGGGGTGCATGGTTCAAATCCACCAGATGCTCTGCTGGAGAAGGAGGAACACTCTCCTCCTGTACCAGCCAGATCTGATTTGACAGTACACACACACACACACACACACACACACACAAATAAAATTTAAAAAAAGTTAAGAGTATGTAAACATGGCTAAATTGCACAATTACATGTGAGAGCTTCCTTTGGGTGGTAGCTTTCAAGAATTAGGAGAGGCAGTATAAATACAAGTGAGTATGTGTGGATGTGTTGTGTGTTCAGATTTCCTGAATCAGCTTAAGGATTCTGTACAGGGGTCCCCATTTCCCTTCACATAACTAGGGCCATTGATGTTAATAAGGAACAAAGGTTCTTTGACTGCATAGTAAGTGATTTAGACGTCCATCATATTGTGAAATTTTTCTGTCCAAACTGTTTTCATCATGCATGATAAATGAAATGATGGTTAATAAGATTGCCTATCACATTTTATATTTTGGATATAGATCAGGGTACAAAATTAACTTTAGTAAGAGTATTATCTTTGGTACAGTGTAGTAAAGAGCTCAGGAAACTTGAAGATGACCTCATGGGAAGATGAGTAAACAGGAATACTAAAAAAGAAATAAAAAGAAAAAGCTTCCTTAAAATAAATAAATAAATATATAAAGGTTGTTTTGTTTTACTCAAATAACTAAATAATTGCTTGGAGTAAGAAAGGCATTATTCTGTTTTTCAGGGGCTTTAAAATATTGATTTACTTATGTTCACTACTTTAGACTGTAAAATATTGGAAGGAATGAAAATTAAGGTTCTAAGATTATATGTCAATCCAAACTATGTGAAACACAGTGTTCAATAAAAATATACTTAGAAGTTCTTTAATTAGGCATCAATCTAATAATTTACTTTGACCATTTATTCAAGATCATATTTGTAATTGTTGATGTTTCACAGTCATAATTTTCTTTGTGATGAAATTCTTGATAAAAATCTGTCTATGAAACTCTTCCTGGCATGAAAGCGGTATTAAAGACCTTTCTCGTAGAAATCCTATCTTATAACAAACCCTCCATTCGTGAGAACTTGATTTTACATACTCTACACATGGTTTGATAATCCCACTGGGCACAGTCACAATACTGAACACGTGATATACCCTTGTCATCACCATCAGTGTCACATAAAACAATGAAGATTTGCCTCTACTAACTGTATACTTTTTAATTTGTCAAATTTGTGCCACTTCTATGATGTCATTCATGTGATACACATTTCTACTTGAGCCTTCTGGGATTGATTACAGTGAATAAAATAAGAACTCATAACTATGGAGGGTAATCTGGTACCTATTCCTCTTGATAATCTACAGGATATTTTGACCATTTTTCTATTAAGAAATAGAATTAATTATATAATCTAAAATACAAGTGGAATTTTTTAAATATACTTTTAAAATCTAATGAAATGAAATGAAAAGATGCTCTTGGAATAAAATTATACATAAGTAGCACAACAATATGTAATGATTAAACCCAAGCCCTATACTTACAGTTATGTGATAGTTTATTTGAAATGGAAGTCTTTTACTATCTTTTTATATTATACAACATTTATATCAAATATACTATTTAGGATTTAATCTACTCTGACTAAATTATTAGAATCTATAGATGTTCACATTTCTTTTCTGCAGTACAAGACAACAAAAAAGGTTTTCTTTGAAGGAAGTAAAGTGCTGTATTTTATGTATTTATTATATTTTAGGACAATTACTCACAAAATGCATTGGCTGCATTATGTCATCAAGAATTGCTTATCCTTCCCTTTCTGACTCAAAACACCTAAACAAAGAGCACATCTTTGGAAGACAATTGCAGACTGTCAAATCTTACTGAGGCAGCTTAGATCTGTTCTCAATATGTATAAACTTTTCCTAAAAGCATTATTTGCATATTATTATTTTTAATATGACAATTTAGTTGTCTATAGAAGTATTCCTTTCTCATGCTGTCAGTGAATCAGTCAGACTTTCACTTCATTTATACATTTAACATCTCAAACAACTTTCCATTCATTTATTTAAAAAATTGAGATCATTCAGACTCAATAAATCCCAGCACTGTCCTCGTGGACCTCTTATGACCATCAACAGAAACATCTCTGAAGAATTTAGTCTATTGTAGACACAACTTTTTTTTTGTCATCTGCTGCCTTTAACTGACCATCAACAGACTCAACTCTAAAAAAAAATCACGTCTATTGTGGACACGACTTCGCTTTTGCCATTTGCTGCCTTTATAAAATTGAAAAGAGTTGGATTCATTTTCTACTATCAATAGACAACTTTATTTTAAAGATGGAAGAAGTAATGGTGTAGATTTTACTAAAGCAAGCAAACACCATATACACATACATTAAAAAAAAAGTTTCTGCTGTTAATTGTCTATTAGCCAGTTTCTAGCATGACATTTTGTGTGTATACTGTAGTTTCTTATTTAGGGGACACTAATTAGTTTTAAATGGTGTTAAACAACATTCCTGCAGTTGCAAGTGCTTCTCTGGGATTTTTACTAGAGAAAAGAACTCCTGTAATTTAAAACCACTTTGTTTTCTTCAGTCATGGCTCTTAGTGAAGGCCTGACCTGTAGAAATCTTAAGGGTCTTCACTCACCTCATACTGCCATTAGTCTGCACTTAGATTTTTCTAACCTATCTTTTCTCCTGTACCAATGCTCATCTGTAATTCTCATCTCCCAAATTGCATCCAGCCAAGAAATAGCACGAAGCTAGTTAAGTCCTTCTCTTTCTCCCTCCCTCCTCTTACAAAACCTTGGCTACCCTAAAAGAAAATTCTCCAACAACGTGTCAATTTTATATTGGCCACAAAGACAACTTCTGTTGGAGGAGAGAGGAGGAAAGAGGGACTGGAGCTTGGCTGTCCCTTTCCACAGACAGGGATCTTTGTGGCGTTCAGAAAACATTTCCTGCATAAAAATCAACACATTCCCTGCTTGCAGCATTTAGGAGCAAGAACGAGTATATATCAGTCCTGTCCTCACACGAATGAGACACATTCATTAACCTTCCAAACAGGAAAATCATTTTCTCAAAATATGTCATGCTTTCTTGCATTATTAAATCCAATCCACAACCTTAAATCCTCTGGTTGCTCCCCGACTGGGGATTGGACTAAAGCTATAAATCACTCCTCTACTTTCACTCTTCCCTCTGCATTTCCGTTGCACTGATTTTTTTTTTCCCCATCTAGCTCATCTCCGACACACTCCTTCTCTCTTTACATGTATCAAGAGGACCACAAAGAGGAGAGAAAAAAAAAACACACACACAAAACTTGCAAGAGGCAAATTCGGTCCTAAAGGATCTGATTTTAAACACATCCCGCAACAATAGTCTCATTAAGTTGATCTCACAAATCAAAGAGTGCATTCCAATTCCAGGCTCCCCCCCCCCCACACACACACATATTACTACACAGCCCAAGCCCACCCTGAGAGATTGAGCTTCCAGGTGGGTCCCATGCTGACCAGCACAAACTCACAGGGGTTTAATGTGCAAAATATTGAAAACAAAATCCCAGGTCTTCAGGGAGGAAGAGAGAACTTTGTGTTCTAGTGTCAGGAGGTCATTTGGAACCAAAGCACAGGCTAGTTAGTAATGAAGTTCTGTCATCAAGTTCAAATCTACCAAGGAACTGGGATGGGGAGTGGGGAATGTTAGGGGTAGTGAATGGGGGTCAGTTGAAATCAGAAGTGAACATCAGTGCTGGCCAGGATCAGAGAAAAGTGTACAAATTCCGTTCTCTATGGTGTATGTGTTTGTGTAAATGCCCTAGAAGGGCTACAGTGTGATAAAAAGCACCTCTCTCTCTCCTTCCTACCTCCAGCACAAGCAGGTTTCTTCATCTCTTCTCTTGGATGTTGCAGGGAGGTGGGGAGGTGTGGGAGTGGGACTGAGTAGTGTTTTCCTGTCCTCACTGTCCCATCTCTAAAGCTCTCATGCCCTCAACTGTAGCTTAGAGGGCCTCTCTCTCTCGGCAAAGACCCCAAATCAAATAAATCCAAAGATGAAAAATTAATGGAGAAGTAACTAGCCCAAGTGTTGAAACAGCACCGTTGAGCTCCATTCCCCAAACAGCCTACCCTGTACTGAGCCCCACACCCGTCCCCAAGTTGTTCTCCCCTCTCTCCTCTGGGCACTTACCTTCTTTGGGTGGTCGCTTGGCCTCCCTGGTAAGATTGCAGACCTGGGTGGTTTGCAGCTCCTGGGTCAGGCAGCCCTCGGTCTGCTCATTCAGTGGTAACACCACGTTATTTAAAACCAGGGACTGGTCGTCGATCCCCCACTCTCCCAAATGCTGAGGGCAGGTGCATTTTGTATACATGATCCCACAGGATTCTGTTCTCCCATTTTCCGATTTTAAGCAGCTCTCCAACCAAGTGCACAATACATGGCAACCAAACTGGCTTGGGCTCACCTTGTTCAGTACCAAAAACTCAAAAAAAGATTTCTGATCTTCTTCCCCTTTTTTCTGTAATCCTGGGAAATCAGTTGGAAATACTCGACGTATCTGAATAAAATTTTTATCATACTGTAGAAAAACGAAAGCATTCTTGGAATCGCAGAGTTGCATTATAGAATGATTCTTTCTTAAAAGATCCTTTATTTTTTCATGAGAAAAATGATCAAACTGATAAGCCAGGAGGGAAAAGTTAGAGCAACTAAGGTCCTTTTTGGAAAATTTCAGGTAAATACTATATTTGGTTGGATCTGGATTTTCCAGCGTCCAAGTGCAGTTTGTAAAGTTTTTGGGAAACATTTCACTTACAGAATACGATCCATAAATGACTCCCTTCACCAAAGTTGAACACAAGAAGTCTTGGGCAGCATTAAATCCAAACATAACCAGGAGATAGGTGGAAAATATATAAATCAGCAGGTTACGAACAGCCTTCATCCTATGTCATTTGGCCTGTAAAAATGGCAATGAAAGTAAAATGCAAGACTATGCGCATTGAAAAAAATAAACTCCTTCCAATATTACGGGCAGCTGTTTTTAAGATTTCAGTATTAAAAAAAAATCCCTTTTAAAGAAGGGCAGGTGATTTTTATTTTATAACGCCGGGAAATTATCCGTTGCTGTGTGAACAGCGCCCTCACGTGGCCATACACAATGGTCAAATTCTCCACATACCATTTAAAAATAACATTTAATAGAATATTAATAGGAATGCCCTAATTTATCTAGCAGGATTTCCTCCAAGTGTATTACGGTGTAAATGAAGAGGGAAAAATACAGGATGTCTTCTATCATAACCTAAACGTTTATGAGTGAAGTATTTTTAATCAGCCTATATAGCCTTTTTCTCTCCCTCAGTTTTCTGTCTGCAGTAAATATCATCACACAAAATCTAATCTGATAATCTGGGAACAGCTGTCATCACATTTCTTTTCCCTAAAATGTGAAAAACAATTACAATAAATTATAGCCATAAATTTAAAAGCATGGGTTATAATTTGTTGCAGATGGAATATCATCTCCCAAATGCTCCTATTTGCCTTTGCAGGGTCCACTATGTCTAGTGAGGGGAAAATTCCTGTGCAAAAACATGGGCATCTTTGTATAGTAAAAGAATTAAAAAAAAAAAAAAAAACACCCACCCCAAAACCACCAAACCACCAACTATCACTTGGGAAAGGACTTATATGAGTAGATACATAGCAAAGACTTGTTCAACATCACCATTGAGAACCAGGATTTAAGGTAGTCATTTCAATGTGACATGCCCTCTTGGGACACATAAAGTGGATCACTGTACTAGTATATGGATCCAAAGGCAATGTCAGGGAAAAATCCCAGAACCGCAGTAATTGAGCTAGCTGCAGGTTTTGGTATTTTGTTGGTTGGTTGGGTTGTGTTTTTTTTTTCCTTTTTTAAAATTTAATTAGTACTATTTTACCAGAAGCTACCTACTATAATTTAAGATATGCATACGGTAGATTAAAAATATTAGCATGTTTCTTTCTAAGCAGCTTTCAGTTATTGAATTGCTCCCTTCCCAACAATAGTTCCAAATCTCTACTCTTTCTCTATTTTTATTTTTTTAAATAAAAAAACAAACAAAAAAAACCAAAAATACACCGATGGCCTTACATAATAAAGTAATCTTTCGTTATATTTACCTCTGTAAGTTGTTATCCAAAAATAACTTGAATTTTTTTCCTGCTTTAACCTTTAAGAAGTTATTTCTTAGAGTAAATGACACTGCTTTTTTGTTTAGCCTTTGAGCTGAGGAAAGTGATGCCAAGTTAATTTTAAAAGTCTTTAGGCTGCAGTCTCTTCCACTGTTCTGTAAACAGAGACAGACATACAGACATATAGACAGTTAAAGAGTTTTCATGTCTTTGCCTGGGGCCTCTCTGAGCCAGAGGATAAACCATTGCATAACACAGACACACACACGCATGCACACGGAATCCAGAGTCCAGAGTCCCTGAAGATAGATCTGCATTTTCAAGATAATTCAAATTCTAGTGTTGATGGGGGGAAAACAACCCTGACTTTCAACCTCTATCTATATAAAAGCAGTTTAAAATAACACTACAATTGCCTGTGACCACCAAAACCATGTATGTTCTCTGATCTCCAGCAAACAGCTTTATTTCCTTCTTCAGAAAATAAAGTCATGAAGCATCTAAGGGTTTAAGAAAAATAAGGAAAGTTGTACAAAATTTTGGAAATAATTCCCTTTTTCTTCCTCCCCCCCCCCTCCCCCGAAGCACTTTGCAGGCAATGCAGGTCTGCGCAGTGTTCTTCAGGATAGAGTGTAGGCGTTGAAAGCCAATGTGACAATAAGTGTCTAAATTAGGAATTCCATCCATGAAAGGGGGCTTCATTTTATAACCGCTAACTCCAAAGGAGGTCGTATTTCTTGTCCTAATGAAATCCAGTACTTTTACTTCCATTTATTTAACTGGGCATGTCTGCAGTGCTGTGCTCATCAAGGATTAGAAAGAGTGAGGAAATAGCTCTGATTTCACTTTCACGCCTGCTTAAAAGAGCCTCCTCGCTATACTGCTCTTTCTCTTTAGACAGCCCTAGTGTAAGTAGCTTCCTTTTCCTCTAAATAATCAAACATGAATCATAGAAACCCAGCACCGCCACCACCACCACTAGCCCTCCTTGAGGACTGCAGGGTCACTTCAAACAACTGTATTTCCCTCTTTAAGGAAATGGGGGGAGGATTGGGGGTGGGGTGGTTCTGGGACTGGCCACCTAGGTCTCCAGGAGGTGGAATTTATTTATTTATTTGGCTCCTGCTGAGGAGCAAACGGGCATTTAGTTGAGCTATTCTCAAAACTGAATTTTCTGGGTAACACTTTAGTTTAGTTGAACATAGACGGCGCCATCACTCCACAAATTTTTTTCCCCCAATAGAAAACCCATTGCCTCCCCTTATTTTAACTTCCTATTAACCTAAAATTGTACCCCCTACAAAAAAAAAAAAAAATTACCTCAATCACACACCACCATCAGATTATCTCGGTCTCTCTGCCTGTCCCTTCCGACCCTGGACATATCTGGAAAACCAGACTTCTCTAACTTTTCAACTGCGGCGTTTAAGTAAATGCAGACAGTCAGGGTTGCTCGCAGTCTCTCCATCCTCCAGCAAACAGCCTAGCCTTTCCTCATCCTCTCTCTCCAAATGCTACGCCGAAAGCTGGTCAGAGGCGACCCCGGCGGAGCGAAGGTGACCCCTGGACCCCTTTCCTTACCTTCCACTCCGAAAGCTCCAGGAGGCTCTTGCTCTAAGACACCAGCACAGGCACGCGTCCCAGCAACAGTGACGGAGAGACTCCCCTTCGGTCCCAATCACCATTGCCCATTTTCCCCGGCTCGGCTTCGAAATTCAGGGTTTATTTTCTTTTAAAATGCACACATATAAAAGCAAGAGTCTGGCTGGGGTGGGGGTGGAGGAATAAAAAGAGCAGGTGGGAGAAAAATAGCCCCCAAGAACCCGGAGCCTGGTGCTGTATCCAAAAGAATCCAACCTCCAAACCTAGGGGGTATCCCCCAAAGAGAGACTCTAAGGAAACAAACAAACAAGCAGAAAAATGGAAGTGCCTTGGGAGCGAGGTTTTGTTTCACCAAATCTACCCCCCAACAAACCGATTAGCCAAGGAGCAAAGAAAGCGCTGAGATGATAAGTGACTGGCGGCGGCAGCGGCTGCTAAGGCAGATTTGTTGGGGTGGTGGGTTTATTACTGGAGTATTCTCGGTCGGATCGGAAGGCTCAAGCTTTTGCTTTTTTTTTTTTCCTTTTTCCGCTTTTCCTCCCTCCTCCGCCTACCCCCCTACAGGTACTGATGGACGGACGGCGACTGAGGAGAGGGGGGAGAAAAATCCTTGGCTGGTGATGTCGGAAAGCTGTTTGAATGCCCAGCGAGGAGGGAGGCGCGCGAGGGAG